ATCGGTGGCTGGCCATTTGTCTTCTCCCCCTTGGTCCCATCCCTGTTGTTCACCAACCGGCGGGAATCACTCTTCGGGGCATCATCACCATCAACCGCCGCCGGCGGTCTCGGCCGGAACTGAAACCGACTCTTGGGCGCGAGCTTCGCCGTCGTCTCATCCAGCTCTTTCCGGAGGGTGTTCACCGCGTCGGTGTACACCCTATGATCGTACGCCGGCAGAAAATGCGTAGCGTCCCTCACATCGTTGGTCAGGCGGGAAATGTTGGTCAGGATCACCTCTGTGGCATCCTGGCGCTCGCCGGCGACGGGGGCGATGGAGGGGAGGTGAGTGATTTGTTCTTGGATGTTGGCTTGCTGCATGCGAAAGTTGCGGTAGAAGCGCTCTTTGGCGTCTTCTTGGTGGGCCATGTTGATCATCCTGATGGTGCTTGGGTGGACTGGGTTGATGAATAACCCTGTTGTTGTATCTGGGAAGAAAAAAAAGTTGGCTTCTGCTGAGGGGTGGGTGGTGCATGGCCGTGTTAGTTGAGTGGTGTGATATCAACAGATGATGTGAAAGTGTTGGTTGTGTTTCGGCAAAGACCACAACATCAGACGATCACATCATGAGAGAAACGAACCTTTATATATATATATATATATGTGTGTGTGTGTGTGTGTGTGTGTATTCTCCCAAAATGATCAATGACGATCCCCTCAATAAAACGCTGGTTGATATACGTCTGTGGCTTTCTCCGGCGGCGGTTGAGACAGACCAGATGACAGGTAACGGTGTCGTCGGTTCAAGAATAGAGTTGTGACACAGGTCCCAAAGCCAAACCGCCTGGTAGTCTCCAAATGATGCGAGTGGGTGGTTCTTCGTTCGGGCGTGACAAGTCAAAATACAAAATGTTAAGGAGACGAAAATAAAAGTCACGAGTCAAGAAAGTCGTGAGGCAACAAAAGTTGAAACAACACAGTTCAAGAATCAACCCGGCAGCACATGCCAGGCACCAAAATATACCTACCCTCTCCCTCCCCCAAACCAGGGAAGGGGGTGATGACTGGGACCCAGGAAATGGGGAAGGCATCAACAAGGTGGGGAGTACTAAATCTGGAGATACCCCGGGGAAGCTATTGATTGCATTGGTGGGGTAGTCTTGGCAGCACACTTTCGAAAAGTCGGTCTCGAACGACCCCTTTCTCTTCAGCTCAAAGATGTCGGTGAGGTGAAGCCCCCCTGACCCCTAACCTCGAAGAGATCTTGATTACATCGTTACAATGCGAGATCTCGCCATGTGCTCGGATTATTTTCCTTTCATTTACACTACTGGTTGGTGGTCCCCCATCATCAAACGGTCCGTCATTTGTGGCAGATGGCTTGGCTATGTTTTCTGGTTCTTTTTAAACCACCCCCTAACGCCTGACATCTCCCTTCATGACCCAACCTGGCCTCATGATACATATACCCCAACCTTATCTACCTAATCCATAAAACTTACCTCATACCTGCATACTCCATGTCTCCATTACCTACGTGGCCGTCGATCTAGACTTTTCATCAGATACCGAAAATTCCCCCGACACAAACAGTCGGTCAAGCAAGCAAAGCAGCCGGAATACGGCAACATCGGTGAAAAAGTTCCGAATTATATGTGTACGTGTGTGTGCGATTCATACATTACGCTTTCTATTGCCGCGTATTATATATATTCATATATATATATATATTTCTAGAGAAAACCTATATAACCTACCCCAGCCTTTTTTCTACCTATACCGCATGCTTGCCCTACCCATAACTTCGTGACCTCCCACCGCCAGAGTTACTCGGATATCTCCTCCCGTTGGCCAGTGCGGGTATATACAGCGGTGCCGTTCTCCGCTTTGGAGACGGCAGCGAGTTGACCGCGTCCCACATCTCCATGATGCCGGCTCTGCGTGCTGGAAGCATGCTGTACTGCAGACTGTACAAGTTTCTGCGATCAAGCGGTGGCACAAATTTGCCTGTGAGTAGGCAGAGCAATACGCGCGGGGACAAGTAGTGTTTTCGGATGCGGTGTCCCATCTGAAAGTATTGATGGAACATGGCTTTGAAGCTCAGGGGTATGGACTGATCATCGTGTCAGTTTCAAAGCCAGGCAGAATAACCGAGAGATAAAAGCCTACCTTCAAGTGAATTACAGAAGTCGAAGGTATTGGTTTCGTCGTGTCATTAACGCCGTGTCTAATTTCTTGGGTATCTCGAAGTTCAAAACGAATTCCGCCTACAAACTCCAGTCAGCACACTGCAAAACCATGATGTAGAGCATAAGAACATACCTGGTAACCTCCCAGGGTCTTTGATCCTCAACATAAGCGCAAAAAGTGGAAAGTGATTCAAAAATGAAAGCATGGTATCGAAAACCGCCTTGAGCGATATGATGACCATGCGGGCGATGGCAAAATTAAGGTAGAATACCACCACGGTTGGAAGCAAAAAGAAGAGCAAGGTGAAAAGAATGGTGCCAACGAGCAGCTGATCCAGGTCGTAGTCGCACGAGTCGATGCGGTTCCTCAGTACATTGTGCTTCTTGCCGCGAAATAGGTGGAAGAGCGAGATCAGGATGTTGAGCTGCCAATGGTAGATCCTCGCAGATGCCAAGTAGAACGAATAAATGTGTATCGTCAAGATCGATGTCAGATCCGAGAACAAGGCGATTGGCATGCTGGCTCCGGCAAAGCTGGAGAAACCAATAAACCAAATCATGTGAGGTAGAACCGGACGGAGAGTCTCAATACAACCTGTGAAGGTTAGTGACGGGATGAGATGGGATGGTTGAGCACAGAATACTCACTGGACCAGTACTCAATAACCCACAGAAACAAATCCCCTAGAAACAACGCCAGTTCGCTGTTGAGCTTCAGCCCCGCTGGCCATCCCATGAGCCACGAAATACTGCTCTGCAGAGCCTCGACCGTGTACTGCGTCAAGAGGTGGCTGATCTCATCCGCAAGCCAGCTGGAATTGTCGATGACGTATGACCCCAACGCAATACCAATAATAACATCATTGGCTACCAACCACAAGCTGTTGTAGAAGCGAATGTAGTCGGGATGGCTGGTGGTAACACTCTCCCAGTCGTTTTTCCTAAGCCGCAGTGTTACATACTGCATCGGCCAGTAGCAAAACTGCTGAAGCCGAATCTCGACTTGCTGGGCTGTGGCAGATATGTCCTTCAGCGCAGCATATTTTGGTCGAGCCCGCCACTCGAGCACCGTCAAGAGCACCTCGGCAGCTATCCGATGCGCCATCAACCCCATCACGAACAGCTTCTTGATAACGGGCAGGACATAGACCGTCACCAAGTTCCATAGCCATACCAGAATTATGTCTCGCATGGTGGTCGCCGATTCAACAACCCTCTCAGACACACTCAAACTTCTCTTGGGCCTTGTTCCTATCCTCGAGACATTCTTCTGCATCAGCTTCTCGAGCTCCCGCGCCCAGTTGATTTGATTCACAATTTTGGGCAGCGCTCTCTCTTTGGCCGACGGGGTCCGCTTGAATATAGAGTGTTGCTTCAATTTCTCGACCAGTTTTTTCTTCTTCTCCTTTTTGAGCCGCTCCTCTCGTTCGTCGGCCTCCTCGGCGCCGTCTGAAAGACCGATCCTGAATGTCTCATGCTTGTCGCCCAGGGCCAGAGCTATGGGACTCAAGGAGATGTACTGCATCCTTCCGGGAAAAGGTCGTTCGAAGAGTATGATCTGAATATTCGAGGCCCTGGCGCATGTGATTATCGGTACACGTATGCTCGGCCCGGTCGTCGCTCGGATCCATGATGGGTCGATCTGTACGTCGTCTGAAGTATTCGACAGTCCCAAAATATGCAGAGACGACTGCCCGCACAGCTCATAGATGCGGCTTACTGGATGGGGCGCGTTTCGCGTGAGGGTGCCAAGCTTCAAGGCGCTGTCGACGTTTCGGGGCTGGCCAAGATGTCAGCTTTCTCCATCCTTTTTTGTCGAGCGTTATAAACCCACCTCCACCTCTTCCAGAATGGCCAGCACAAACACGTCCAGGGCCGAGTTCCTCCACCCCACCACCACACCCCTCAGGTCGGATCGTGGCAGGTCGGCCGGCCAGAATATGCGCATCAAGCCATCATTCTCTGGCATGACAGACAACAAGGCGCGAGGCCACCTAGAAAGATCCCCGTCTTCTCAACTGCTCTCTGGCCGATACGCCGGATCCGGGTGCTCGCGGGTGCTGGACAGTGTTGATCAGCAAAGTCTTTTCCAGTGTTGAGGAGGGGCAGGCGTCGTACGAGAGTCGACTCCCGGGCTGCGAGACGTTCCACGGGTATAAAGATGAGCAGGAACACAAGTGAAAGCGCGGCAAAGCCTTTGGCGGCTCGAGACTGTGCAGACGTGCGCAGGTTAGATAACGAGGCGGGGGGGCTTAAGCGTAGACGAAGGGGGAAGAGGGGGTGGGCGAGCATTACAACCACTCCGTAATCCCAAGCAAAGATGGCAAGCTCATAGAGGCGAGTGACCAGGTCCCATCGGGCGGTGATGTAGCCAGCTACGAAGATGCCGAGTGTCAAGACGGAAAAGGGGTGCATAGAATCGCGTGGTGGTGGTGGTGTGCTACCGGCGGAGCATGCCTTGGGGAGTTTGTCGTGGGCTGTGCGTGTGCAGTGTTGTTTGTTGATCTACGGATAGACTTGTCGCGCTGCTGCTGCCAGGATACTGTGTATGTATGTGCCGGACGTCTTGTCTGTCGTCAGTTGACGGGACCAAATGCTGTGGCTGGGGGTACCGGTATCTGGGGAAAACGAGGGCTCGGCGGGCGGGCGTGTGAAGCTTAAAGAGGCAAGCAAGTGGAGCTGGCAAGGTCGGATGAAGGCCGCCAAATTGCTTGGGGCTTGCGACGAAGCTTGTTCCAGACTCTCTGCGTCTCTTCGATCGATGGTGCATCTGATCATTTCAACAAAAAGCCCCATCACCGTGTCTCCAATCGCCAATCAGAGCCCGCACATTCCCATGAACCGTGCCCCACTTATCTCCTTTTCCTGGCGGCGCGGGACAGACAGCCACCTGCTTTGAATCCGAGTCTCCGATGTGGTGGTCAACGACGGTGGCACAGTTTTCTATGAAGATGTAGACTTCCGTGTATACGATATGGACACAGGGGACTGTATTTACATCTGACACCAAACAGGTGTGTGGCAGATCACTGAGTGGGTGGGTAACATCAATAGACTCCAGGTTGAGGACCTATATGGCACCGTATACATTTTATTCTACACATGTACAAGTGATTAAGATCAGGATCATATGGTTTGAACCACTCTCTCTAAAAAAGCCTGTGTCAGAAAAGTCAGGAGTGATACAGAGGTGAAGGCACTTACACTTCTTCTTCCCCAGCAGCGTTGCATCATTCTCTTTAAAGTCTTCGCGGGCCTCGTCCAGCAACTTGTCTATCCCCCGTTCCTTGAGTGCGCGCTGTGTAATGTTAGCCCGTCATAAATCCACCAAAGTTTTCAGACGGTCCATCATACCTTCAAGCATACGTTGTACTCCTTAAACATGGTGGCGCATTCGTTATTGTCCGAGGTACTGATCCCCCTCAGGTACTCTAAATATTCATCAGTCGTTCGTCTTTCCATGGTTGGGCAGGGCGTGCCTACTTTCGCTGTACCATTTCAAGAAGCAGGTGTCGTAGCGTCTGAGCAAATCAACCGTTAGCGGTGACCATGAATGATACACACGGCCCTATGAGACGGACTTACTCTTTCAGCTCGTTGCATTCTGGGGCAAGTGATTGAGACATTTTGAATAGGCCCCAGACCTCGGTAGAAAGAACAATGAAGCAATGCTAAGGGATTTTTGAAATGACAGAGCCGTGTTGCGCCTGGATGTATTGCACTGCGATGGTAAATCCAGGAAACGATGCCGCGTGTTTCGGCGGCCTGCCGGCAGTCTCGATATAGGTGAACTCGTGACTCCAGAAGAACTCCCAACAGAGGAAAAGCTTGGGCCAAGTTGCTATCGAATGGAAGGAAGCTTAGGTAGCGACTCTGATTTTCTCCCAAATAAAACTTCGGCTTTGCAAGTTGGAACTTCAAATCTTCCTTGACATCTCATCACTCTTAAACGCCACCAAAACTCCAACACATGTGAGGTGACCTCCAATTGCCAAGCGAGAGAGGAGAGCCAGGATCTTATCTTATCGGCCACACACCTCTTTTGAGGGTACTTTCGGAGACAGCAATAAATCCCAGCAATTACAAGTACCACGCTACTCTCAAAGCCGCTTAGCGTCGCATCCACCCTGCCAAAGCGGATCCACCGAAAAGTTCAGGACTGCCCGTTTTGAAAACAACCAGAAAGCCACCACCTGCTGCGCAAGACAACCACCCCATCACTGGCAAAAGGCAGGACCGTTTGCGACATCGACAACAGGATGGAGTCATCACAAGATTACAACTCTCTCCGAGAGACCATCCAACCCGCCCTCGTCACCGTCACTCGATCAGCCGGCGTCGTCGCAAACGAGGATCTCCAATTCCAGCGCACCGTCCGCCCATCCGTCGGCGACAAGCTCGACAAGACCGCCGATCGCATGCTGGGCTTGGTCAACGGGTTGCTCAAGTCTTCCTCCAAGGTGACGGGACAGTCGACGACCAAGCTGGAGGATATCGACGATATCGAGATCAAGTGGAGAGGCATCGTCGACGTGATCGATTCGTTCCTTGAGAAGGCCGACACCTGCCTTGACGAGTACACCGGTTTGATCAAGAGAAAGAATGCGCCCACTGTCGAAGAAGTATGTTTTTTTTTTGTTCTGTACATGTTTTACCGTGTCACTCTAACCTCCTCCTTCACAGGGCCGCGACCCCAAGCGATCGAAATCGACGGCGCCGCTCGACTGGTCTCTCAAGCGCGCCAACATTGTCAAGCCCCAGAATGGGTTCGAGAAGAAGCCCAATAACTTTGACAAGGGGCCGTGGAAGCCCATCTTGACGAAGAAGCCACATGCGATTGTTCCGTTGGAGCAGTCTTTCAACACCTTTCTCAATGAAGAGCACACTACCCAGTATGAACCCCCGTCCCTTTTCAAGAATTCCCTAGTTTCTCCGGTACCCCCGGTGGATAGTTCTGTCCAAGAAAAGGAGGCCGATCAAGAAGAACCGCGTCTGGCCACCCAGCCCAGAAGCCGAAAGGCTGTGGGAAACTGGCGCTGGAGACAGAAGATGCGGGACAAAACATATCAGCAAGCTGTGACGGCGTCTGCGGAGGTTTCCAGAGAAAACTTCCGAAGGGGTTCCTGAGGACCCTTCGGAGGAGATATTTGAAGGATTCCCTAATGTGGATTCCCATGGGAACCTTCTGGAGCTTCTTACGGAATCGCCAAAGGAGGTCCCCAGGGATGTCTCTGAGGAAGCTCCCGGCAACACTCTTCAACAGGCTATTAAAAAGGCTCCAAGGGATTTTTCCGCTCAAAGTTTTGGACTTGGTCCCCTCGAGCATTTTGTCCAATTATGTCTCTGTAATTTTTCCCAAAAAAGAAAACTAACAGACCCCTCAGATACCAGAATCCTTACCAGCCCGAAATCGAAGCGATGAAATACCCCAGCCATGTGTTCGAGTCAAGAGAGCCGATCAAGTACCTCGACGTCGAGAGCACCAAGCCGATTTGGGTGGACACGTGGGAGGGAGTGCTGGAGATGGTCGAGGAGTTGTAAGAAGGCGAGGGAGATTGCGATTGATTTGGACGCATCACGACTTTCGGACTTATACGGGTCTATTGTCGCTCATGCAGATCAGCACGAGGGAGAAGGATTGGATTGTGGACACTTTGGTGCCGTGGAGGCACAGGTTGGAGGTGCTGAATGAGGTTTTTGCTGACCCGGGGATTGTGAAGGTTTTCCATGGGGCGTTTATGGATGTGGTGTGGCTGCAGAGGGACTTGGGGGTGTACGTGGTGGGGTTGTTTGACACGCATCATGCGTCGACTGTGTTGGGGTATGGGGGGGGGAGTTTGGCGTTTTTGCTGAAGAAGTTTGTGGGGTTTGAGGCGGATAAGAGGTGGCAGCTGGCTGATTGGAGGATTAGGTGAGTACATGGTGGTGATGATGATGGGTTTGAAGAAAGGGGAAAAGCTAATGATGACGTTGCAAAGGCCGTTGCCGGCGGAGATGCTGTATTATGCCCGGGCTGATACGCATTACTTGCTTTATGTCTACGACATGATCCGGAATGATCTTGCTGCCGCGGCGCACACTGTCCATCCGGATGGGAAGCCGATTGAGCGGGTGATTGCCAAGTCCAAGAAGACTGCTTTGTCTAGGTACGAGAACCCTGCTTTTGACGAGGAGACTGGGCTGGGGGATCGGGGGTGGTATAACTACCTTGCGAGGTCGAGTTATGTCTACAACAAGGAGGAGTTTGCGGTTTTTAGGGCGTTGTGGAACTGGAGGGATAAGACGGCAAGGGAAGAGGACGAGAGCACGGGGTTTGTGATGAAGGAGCATGTCATGGCGGAGATTGTGAGGGTTATGCCTAGTGACAAGAAGGCCCTTTGGAGCTTGCTGGATGGGCACGCGAGGAATTTGAAGGGAAGGCTGGACGAGTTGTTTGGGGTTGTGCAGGAGGGGAGGGAGAAGGGGCTTGCCGGGGGGGTGAGTTTGTTGCAGTTTCTTAGTGGGGGGAGTGGTTTGGCGCAGGCGCAGGTTGTGCCCAAGGTGCAGAAGGAGGAGGCGGTGGATATTAAGGAGTTGAGGAGTGAGAAGTCGCAGTTGTGGGGGAGTGTGCCGTTGAGTTCGGCTTGGGAGGATAAGGGGGCGAAGAAGGAGGGTGAGGATGATGAGGTGCTGGAGCTTCCTCTTTACTATAGCGCTGCGCAAGAGGAGGAGGAGGTTGGGGGTGGTGATGTGGAGGAGAGGGTTCCAGTGCTCAAGTCTGCTGCTGAGGTTTATGGTCAGGAGGAGCAGGAGCAGGAGAATCAGGAGTTTACACTCAAGACGGGGAGAAAGCGCAAGGCGAGCGAGGCGGATGTGTACTCTGGTCCGGAGGAGCAAGTGGAGGATGAGGAAGATGTTGAGGAGGATGTGGAAATGGAGGATGCCACCACCCCTGCAGATGGTGAACAAGAAGATGACTCGGAAGAGGGTGATGTCGAGGCGGCGAAGAAGACTGCTAAGCAGGAGAAGAAACTCAGAAGGAAGGCTGCTAAGAAGGCTAAGCGGGAGGCGGCTGCACAGGAGCAGGCTGAAGAGGGGGAGGAAAAGGAAGCGGAAGTGGATGAGGAGGCGAGGAGGGAGGCGAAGAGGGCCGAGCGGAAGGCTAGGAAGGCTGCTAAGAGGGCTGCCAAGGCACAGGAGCAACAGCAGGAGGAAGAGGAGGTGGTGGTGGAGGAGGAGGAGGCGTTTGATTACAGCAAGGCTGCTTCTGTGCTCAAGGCTGACGGGGGGGCGAGGTCGGAGTTTGATGACAAGAGGAAGGGGAAGAAGGGGAAGAAGGAGAAGGTCTTTGATCCGTATGCTGCGAAGACGGGGTCGGATTTGAAGGGGGTGAGGAATAGGAATTATGAGAGGGCGGGGAGGTCGGCTACTTTTAGGAAGTGAGAGAGTGTGAGGGTGGGTGAATGGGTTTGCATTGATGAGGGGGTAGTGTTTGGGAGCATTACTGTGTGGGAGTAGACTATAGCATTGCATCAGATACTTCATTAGAAACCGGTGTCGAGAATTGAAGTTGAGTTTTGTCATTTTTGTGAGGTTTACATGGAATATGAAGCATTGGATTTGGTTTGTGTATTCTGTGACAGTGGAACTTTGTGGTGGGTTGGCATTGTGAGGGGACACCGTAGAGTACATCCGCCAAATGAGAATGTAGACACCACTTGTCATGATACACTTCAACGCCAGTATGTGTCAAGAATGGATCAAATCATGTCATGTAATCTCTCCCATCTCGCATCACTCACTGTCGTTTTAACGCCCGTGGCCCAGTGAGGATAGCTACGATAAGGTGCCCCCTTTTTACCAATGCACCATCTTTCCTCCCCCATCGCGTCTAACCAGCGGCATCGAGCGGGAAACCGATCTTGTCCTCTTTCCACCGATCTGACTGACACACCTTTATCCCTTGGGATACAAACCGAAAAAGACAGCTGGCCCGAGTAAATATAGCGTGGCTGTTCCCGTCATGGTTTTGTTTTGTGACCGGAGTCAGTCAACCTAATACAGGAAGGGTAGGTAGGTAGGTTGTATACACCTCTAACACTGTGAGGAATTTCAAACTGATGAGTGAGACAAACTTATCTTGGAAACTCTAGGAGGCTTTTCGGTGGGCATGGCGAGATTGTCCCTTGGCTGCCAGCGGAGGTTTTGCGGGAAGTCTTGGGAGCGGGCTTGGTAAGCTCACCTTTGGAACGGAATTTATGCACGGCTGTTTTGTGGTTTTCGTATGTAGGTAGGTAGACAAGTAATATCACATGCGGAAATTTGGGAGCCAAAAAAACCCCCCCCAAAAAAAACCACCAAAAAAAAAACAAGAAAAGTTGGTACATGATTCTTTCAGGACAAGAAGGATCGTGATGAGCGAGAACGCAGCCTGGCTCGTCAAATACCCGCCTCAATCCCAATCTTGTGGCGTCTTCTGTCAAGTTTTGATATTTCAATCTGACCAGGTAGAGAGGAGCTTTTCGGGAACAGAGTTCTATCAAGCTCCCCCCAGATAGGCCCATCATCCATAGAACTTCGGACAGATGACTCTCATTCGTCCGGAAATCTGCCCACGCTCACCTTACCCAGTGGCCTTTTTTTTGTTAAACCTCCTTGGTTTCACTTGAAGGTAGGGCATTGAGCCCGCATGACTGGAAGTGAGCTGATGTGCCGACGTAGCTTCCTTGCTTGAGTATCAACGGAAGCGGAGGTAGAGGGGGGGCGCGGAAAAAGCACGGGATAAGGGTCCCCAAAACCACTTCCCACACTCCCCTTTCTATCACGATCCCTCATACAATACTCCGATGGGCGCCCAAAGGGTGAACCACGTGGCGGGCTCCGTTTCTTGCCGCAAGACCCTAATGACCCATACGATATCACGATGCAGGGACCTGTGGGCTCTCGCTTGTGAAGGTTTTGGTCATCGCGGTAGCGGGTTAGGCATCGTTCGCCGTGAGCTAGCTCGGTTTTGTCCCGTATCTTCACGCTAGGTAGCGAGGAGAGAGGAACTTGGAAACCTAACGGGAATGGGAACCGGGTTGGGTTTTGTACGAGGCTTCTTGTGCGATTGGAGGCCGAGAGGGAGGAGGTGATTTCGTTCAAGGTTGATATTGGAGATGGCGACGGGGTACAGTTGCCTGGCTAGAAAGCCCGCATGCTGGGCTACTGGAGAATGGCGAAGGAGAGGAGCCGGAAAGATGGCCGGGTTGAATCTGTCAGTTGTCATAGTTCCGTCTCACAGCAGCCACACGGCAGGTGCAAACGCCCCATCTTCTTCGAGCATGGTATGATGGTTGACAAGTCCGACATAATCCGATTCGGTCGATGCAGGTTGGTAGTGACTGCAGGTAGACATCGACGATGTCTTCCTGGCCAGCTGTTTTAGTGTAACAGTCCCCTTTGGCGGCACAGGAAGCTTATGGGTTGAGGGTCACGAAGGCCTAGAATTGAGATTTCACTCGAAAACCGTTTCCGGGAGCAAATGTTCCGTGGTTTGTGGTGGTTGTGGGCTGGCGGCCGCGGGACATCAGTTGTATCGCCACCGGTGGCACGATCGGAGGAGAATAATACGTAGGGCTGATCACGAAGCTCTTGAAGTGCTTCAAAAGGGCTTGTCGACGTTTTACCATGATGGATTAGATAGTGGCGCTCGTGTTTCCGCTGATCTTCAGGGAACAATGGCGCTGTGGATGGCAAAAGGAAGACGCTAGCTCGGCCCGGACCGGTCGACTTCCGGTAGGGTATACGCAGCAATCCACTGGTGTGTTTGGAGAGAATGAGAAACTGTCAAATCGCGAGATGAAGCGCCCTATCACTCATCAATTCACATAGTGACATATTCCTGGATCGGAAAAGCGTACCAGATCTCGTTCGTCAATGAAAGATTCCGAGCTGCCCTGATCTCCATTCAGGGTCCAAGTGATCGACAGAAGGTGCGACAATTGAGACCCCAATTGAGACCCCAATTGAGACCCGGGGAGGCGGACGGCTGCTGCGAGCTCGAGTTGTCATTGGAGGCCACTATTAGGCCCACAATTCCCCAACGCCTCGAGCGATATTTTCGAAAGCCCATCTCGGTTGTCTTTTTGGAGACAGGGAAACCACTGTTATTACCAAAGATTAACCACAGAAAAAAGCGCACAGAAGAGTTGTCGGTTCACTGCATAGATCACGATCTTGACTCTTTTTGTCTCCACAGAGTTTGACAACAGAGCAGAACAGAGCAGCGGCAGTTGCATTACGGCCACTAGCGCAGAAACACTAACCGTCACAATTGACGTCATAATTAGTAGTCAGTCCATTATAATATCCCTGCCGCGAACAGAGACCAGCATGGGCCCTGCAGCGTGTTCGCGGGGTAACATGTCAGCATGTGCGAGGTGGTGAGGTGACTGGTGGCCGGAGCAGCACTGGTCGGACCTCTGGACCATTCTCCGGGCCTGTCAGGGCGCGTTGTTCACAGCCCGCCTCAGTCTCCTGTCCAGAGAACATACGGGCAGAATTGCCGTTTATTGACGTCTGGGGTGACAACCTCAGGACCTGGTGTAGCCGTTGTCTTGCTTGTGCCCGGCGATGGAGCGGAAAAGCTCGTGATAGACTTATGACTGGCGCCGCAATCGAAGGTTCCTGAAAGGGTTCCTCAAACATGGGCCTCACATACGACCCTGACCCCCGCGAGAGTCGTCCAAACATGGATGCGTGCTGTTCATGCATCACCTGGCGTGTGCTGTGAGGGCACGGAGGGTTCACTCTACGGGCCGATGACAGGGCAAAAACAAGATCTCGAGAAACCGCCTGCCGGTGCAGCAGTCCCCACCGAATAGCCACACAGCGCAGTTGCAGTCCGCGTCCCCGTGAAGTTCGGCGAAGTTATGACGACTGGATTGGGTAGTGTATGTAGGGTAGGACACAGCAGTGTATCGTTGATGTTTTTTTTTATTTAATGCAGTCGAGAGATGAACCGATCCGAACAGCGGACCGAGAGTCGTTGATTGATACCTGTCGGATAGTACACAGACGCTAGAAGACCGAAAGATGATGCTTCGTCGAGAAACGTCGTGGGCTGACCTCATAACCGATGAAACTTTTGGGCCAGTAGGAAAGCGGAGTTTCGTTCTCATCGAAGACAATCGAAGAATATTTGTTGAATGACCCCGCGGTGTGTCTCGAGCGGGCCAAGTCACGCGGTAGTGTGGTAGCAGAAAGACATGGTGGCCAACGGTGTGCTGTGTCGGGAATCAGCTTAGAAGAGGAAGTAGAAGTCCAAACAAAATCAAAAATGTAGTGAAGAAGCACAGAAAAAGGAAGGCATCCGGAGGTAGCTCTCCTTTGCTTTGTAGGTGGGAATTGAGCTGCTTTTGAGCTTTTGGGGTGAGGGCCAGCGCGATGGGACAAGTCGTTTTGTTTCGGGCAACTTATTTCCTTGGTGGAGGGCCAATGACCAATCAGAGGCGGCTCCAGCCAGGACCCTGAGGAGGCCTAGACCGATCACCCTCGATCCCCTTACCTGTGCTCTTTGAAGCGCGGATCGGGGCAATTCGTGTTGCATCTGTGAAGCGGTGCCAGCAACAAAAAGCGAGAGGAAAATAACCAGAGAAACAATGGCCGCAGCCCACCATGGACCCTGGACCCCCATCGAGATGCGCGCAGCCTCCTTTCCTTGGCCATCTTCAGAGAGTCGTCGCCTGAGGAGCCTGCCATTGGGGTGTTAACTCACTGGTCCCTCTCCCTACTTCCCCATCCAAAGCCCTCTGGCTTCATTTGAATCCTGCCTTGGTTGTCCCCCCTGCACACCTCACCTCACACGCCCTCAACGCAACCACAGGGCCACACACACACACACACACACACACACACACAACAATACACCACATCAAACAATAGAGACAGACATCGCCAGCTTCAACAACACACAAGAACACCACCCGACCCTAAGGGTATCAAGGTATGTGGAGACGTTTTCCCTATATTGTATCTCCCTCTGCCGCAACCGCCAAAGTCTAGAAGTGTGATTTTCACAGCCTTGCCATGGTGGGCCAACGTTGTTGCTTTCGCACCGGGCATTCCACCACCCTGCTTTTTTGTCAGTCCAGTCGTTCCGAGCGCTCAAAAAGAAGAAGACACTACTCTGTCCAAAGCGCGCGCGCCCGCTGCACCACACATCTTGGCTTTCCACCGGTCTTCTTCCCTTTCCTCGCCAATTTTACCATTTACAGCAATTCACTCCTGGGGCAGCGGTTTTTGGAAAAGCAGTGTCGAATCCAGAGCGTTCGATCGACACCATGACAGCCGGAGCTCCCTCGCCGCCTGTTCAGCGAGTTTCGCCACAGCCCCCCCTGTCTGCATAGTGTTCGAAGTTCCAGCATCAACAGCTAGCTCTGCGCAACGTTTCTGATGAGACTTATTAAATAGGCCCTTTTTTCGCAATTGCCTCTTGTCTGCCACGGCTCTACAGCCACGCACACACTGGTCTCTTGAGAGCTGGGTGTGCACCACAACCGCAACCGACCGCACCGTTGCACGCGACCGAACCCTCGGGACGGCGCGGACTGTTGCGGGGCGCGCCGGTAGACCAAGTCGCCGTCAAGCTTCAAAAAAAAAATAGGTCGAGCATGTAACGGCCCCCCATGGCGGACGACACAAGTCACCAAGTCACAACTGATTTAGGTCACCCTTTGCCGCGGCGATCCACGCCCGAGAAGTCGGTGACCCTCTACCACCACCGACTGGCCCACGAGGCCAGCAAGAGATTCGAAAATGAAAAGCAACAGTCCACCCTCACCTCACACCCACAGCCGCAAATTCATGCGCAACCACAGGCCACAGCGTCGCCCAGGAGGGATTCTTCCGGAGAGAGCAATGAAACTGATCCCAAGACCTGGTTCGATCGCTCCAACAACAACCCAGTCGGCCATTATGATGCCTCGATGGACGTCGACCCACCGTTTTTCCAAAAGGAAACCGACTCTTCCAACGAGGGGCGAGACGGAGGTGGTGTCATTCCAGATGCCCCCTACCTGTTCGAGGGCGGCCTTCGCCAAACTGTCACCCACAGCAGCAGTGCCGATGACTACCGCAGTGTCATTGACGACTTGACCATCGAGAACAAGCGGTTAAAGGAGGAACTGAAGCGGTATAAGCAGTATGGGCCGCCCATGATGCAGAAGGAGAAGCTGTTTGAGATCAAGATTCACGGACTACCGAGGCGGAAGAAGCGCGAGTTGGAGGCCACGCTGCGAGACTTTGCCGCCAGTCTCGAGGGGTCGAGTGATTCACCATCGTGGAGGAAATCGAGCCGACAAGAAAAGAAGAACATGTATTCTTCTGGGGACTCGAAGCATGCGTCATCGTCTTCCTCGCACTCGCGGCCCGTGGATTCGGCCTATGCATCCATGTCTACCGGACCTAGTTCCCACGGTCCCAACTCGATAGGGAGGTCGCTCGGGCGCCCTTCTGTTGGTTCTCGCGCAAAGTCGTCGCAGCAAAAGGTGGAGAACTACCTTCGAGACACCCCCGACGGTCTGCTCCCGCGTCAGATGGTAATGACGGACAAGGAGAAGAAGAAACTGGTGGTCAAACGTCTCGAGCAGTTATTCACGGGCAAAATCAGCGGGAGGAACATGCATCGGAACCAGTCCATGTCGTCGCTCGAGGCGCCCGCACCACCACCGGATGCCGTCATGGGACCACCCAAAATGTCGGAAGCCTCGCGAGAGGCGTTCATCCAGCCGCTGGATCCTAGCCAAAAGAAGACTCGTTCGAGAGATAATGCGTCGACATCCAATGGCGATCAGACGGAGAGCGGCGGTCACGGAAACGGAAGCGGCGATGGCAATGGAAGCGGAGGCAGAGGCGGAAACAACACATCACCTCCCTCGGTCCCGCTGCCAGAACAGCGTCCAACTAGACCAGTCGATTTGGACCCCGACCGATTGCAAATACCGTCCGAGAATCTAAAGTACATCCAACATCTTGGGCTGGTCCCCGAAGAGTTTCTGGTATCCAAACAGACCGAGTATGACGATGTTGCACCCGATGCGGACGGCTGGGTGTATCTCAACCTTCTCGGAAATCTCGCCCAGTTGCACATGCTCAACGTCACCCCGGGTTTCATCCGGGCCGCCGTCAGTGAGAAGAGCACCAAGTTCCAGCTCTCGCCAGATGGCCGGAAAATTCGATGGCGCGGAGGCACAGATGGGACCAAGTTTAGCAGCGACAGCGGGGACGGCTCACAAAAGAGCCCCATGACCGAGGACACTGATGGTTCCAATGAGAGTGGCCAGCGCAAGAGGCTCAAGAAGGGCCAGGGCGGTCATTCCGACTCCAAATTTGTCCCGCAGGCATCCTCTCGCTCCGACTTGTTCCACTACAAGCCTCTATTTGTCCATCGAACTTCTTCGGCAGAAACGTCGGTCGAGGGCACGGGATCCCTGGCATCGGATGAGGTCGAGGATAGCAACCTTGAAAATTCCAAGTATGGGTACAGTGGCTCTGGATCGACGCAGCGCAAGAAACGGCGACACGACGGTGCCATCATCTACTACAGCGGTGCCCCTTTCTGCACGGATCTGTCGGGTGATCCTGGTGACATATCACCCACCACCTATATGACCTCGACTGGCCGGGACTTTTCGACGCTCGACTCGGCACCGTCTCTGCTGCAGAGGAGCCTGTCTGGGTCGTCTCTCGTGATCCGACCGCTCAGCGATGCCCGGCCGTTTGTGTCGGAAACCCTGGGCATGGAAATTGACAAGTATCTGCCCAGTGACGAAGAGACGGACGACGACATGGAGTTCCCCTGGTCAGACAGCTCAGCACTCGTTCGACCGAAGATGTCCGAGACACCTCTCGAGCCCTGCGGTCTGGGCGGTGTGATACCAGAAGACCACTTTGCTGTGGTTGTGGTGACCCGTCGGCCAATCAACTGCGTTGTGGACACGCACCTGCGCGATAGGTCGGTGTCGGTGGACAATGCGGAAGTTATTGCTCGTCGACTGGAGTGTATGAGGACCTCGTCGCCGCTGCCACCTCGACGGAATAGCAGGACGGGTAGAACCAACTCTCCCATTCAGATCGAGTATGTCGAGGGACGGATGCTTCGTCTGAAGCCGGCTTCTCTGCCGCCCCCAGCCATGTATCTTCCTCCTTTCAGCAACGAGTCCGACACGGATTCTGGAAGCATCGACATGACTTCGGCAGAGAATGACGATGTGGAACAGGACAGCACTTCCCAGAGCTTGATTTCGAGGCGGGCCAACCCTTACTTCTCGGATGCTCGCTTGGAGGAGGATGAATCCGAGGAGTCTGAGGAGCTCGGTGATGTGAATATGGGAGCGGATGCTGTGGTGGGTGCTGTTTCGGACGATGCCCACCGTCCGCCTGCTGACCGGATGGAGAGCTCGGGCACTGGGAAGGTGGCCATGCTTTTACACCCAGGAAGCTCTGTTGCGACTGCGGGAGGGGATGAGAGCGGATATTCTAGCTCGATGGAGGATGATGCTACTTGAAGTGTTGCGTTATACGGAGTGAAATTTGGGGGGCAGACTGACTTGGCATTTTCCGGACATATGTATGGTGTTTTTGGCTTGGCTTTTTGGCATTGGGAAAGCGAGGCGATATATATGTCTCGACTTTTCGATACAACAAGGGGGCGTTTAGTTGGTGATTTTTTCGTCAAGTGGAATTTGTAGCATTTCAGATACCACGACAATCCGGGCGGGCAGGTTTGCTTTGGGATACCTATAGAGACTTTTTGATCTTGGGATACCTCTGGAGGCCATATGTGTGGGAGGAGGGTAAAAGGTCCTTTTTGGCCGTGGGATAATTTGCAAAAATAAAGACAAAAGAATTCATATCATTGAAGGGTTGTTGCTCGAGTTGTGATGTTTTTGTTTTGTTTTGTTGTGTAGTTGATTAAAAGGAGCCCCCTGAACGTGCATGTAGGGTACCCCGCAATGCCTGCTAGGAAGAGCTCGAACTGTCACCGATCTACCCCGCCAATATTTTTTGACCGCTTTACGTACGGGAACAGCAACAGGCGGGCGGGCAGTAACCAGGCTAGACTACCTCTTTGCTTGTCATTGAGAGTGCGCGCGATCAGGGTCAATCCACTTTGCGACCGAGGACGTGGTGTAAACGTCTTTCAATAACAAACAACACCTTGGCCGAGTCTTTTTTGCGCGCGCGCAATCATCTAGCTGGCTAGTAGCTGTTTCGATATCGCGACCTTACCCACCTACCTACCCAACAACTAATCGACCGACCGAGACCGACCGAACGATCGATCCAACCAAGACATTCACGATCATGGCTACCACCTCCGCCACGGTGAAAGGGAAAGGCGTAGGCCCAGACGGGAAGTCAGTCTATTTTCCCTCCCTCCCCCGCCCCACCCCTTTTTTTTTATTATTTTATTTCTTTTTTTATTATTAGTACCAATCCCATTTACTGAAGCTGTGTTTATGTAGGGACACCAACCCCCGAGGAATCCCCTACGCGCCCTTTGTCGACAAGGTAGAAGACTACGTCTCCTCCCGTTCAGACGTCGAGCCGACGCTTCGGTCGTTTCAGGAGATGGTGGCAAAGTACCAGTTTATGGAGCAGAACCTGCAGCGGAGGGTGGCGGGGTTGAGGGATAAGATGCCCGACATTGAGAAGACGTTGGAGACGGTGAGGTTTTTGAAGTTGAGGAACGAGGGTGATGACGAGGGGGAGGGGGGGGAAATCGAGACCACGTTTGAGCTGAATGATACGCTTTACGCCAAGGCAAAGATTGGGAGGACGGAGGAGGTGTATTTGTGGTTGGGGGCGAATGTTATGCTGAGTTATCCGATTGAGGAGGCGGAGGAGTTGTTGGATGGGAAGTTGGAGGCTGCGAGGAGGAGTTTGGGGAATTGTGAGGAGGATTTGGATTTCTTGAGGGAGCAGATTACGGTGGGTGATGCTACTGACTACTTGCTGACTATACTTTTTGGATGATGGCTGACTGGGATGATAGACTATGGAGGTTGCGGTGGCTAGGGTTTATAACTGGGATGTGGTGCAGAAACGGAAGGAGAAGGAGGAGGAGGAGAAGCAAGGGAAAGGGAAGGAGGAGGGGACGGCGGGGGGGTGATGATGGTGATGATGATGAAGGGGGAGGCTGTGTAAGAGTCGAGATTCAAGAGTCATCAAAAAGAAACGAGACATTTGGCAACAAGGTGGCAGGACCATGATGAGGATATTGCAAAGTGGGATTTGTATTACTGGTGATGGGGATCACATGCTGGATGTGTCTGTTGCGGTTCGGGATGGTGGCCGGGACGTTGAGTGCAACCTGAATGGCACAGCACCCTATGAAGCACTTGAGACGAGATGTGGCCCGGTTTGTTAAGATAGGAACGGTGGTGGCCGTTGGGTGGGCCCGTTGGAGGTGGGCCGTGGGTGTAGGTGAAAGTTGGTAAACCGTCGACTTAACGGGTCGACCTTCAACTGCTGGTTAAACGGTCAGAGCTATCCATCCAGCTGGCTTCATGATTGTGATGTTCTTGCGGGAGTCTGAGTTGTGTACACAGAATAAAGAGTAAATGATGGCAGCTGTCAGCCCCACCCTTATACCCCCTTAGTGCGAGGCCTCGCTGGTGCGGGCGGGGCTGGCCGAGCTGCCGGTCAGGGGATTATCGCGGGCAGGATTGAGTTGGCGGCGGCATTTCAGGCACTGAAGGTTACTGGTTATTTGAACCAGACAACAACAGGATTCCCTGTCTTTTTCCAACATCCCCCCCTTTTGTTGATTCATCTTTCCTATCATTTGCCATCCGCCACTTGTCTCAAACGCCTTCTGCACCCTTTCCCGCAGCAGCCAGTCAGTCTTTTTCCAATGCAAGTACAATAGCGCGCATCATCCTTTTTCGTCCCATCATCTCCTGTCACCGCCCAACTTTTTACTGCCTACTCACCTACTTTTAACGAACACCTAATCTAACATCTTCTTCCTCAAGAACGATAGACGAAGTATTGAAAGACGTCCACGACACCCTAGAGCCCGACCCGAAGAAACCGAAGCAGAGACATAAACGCAACAAAATGGCTGCCGCCGCGCCTGTCCCCCGCCCCTTGGAGCTCGACCCCAAGTACGATGACTACGACTTCCCGACCACCGCCGCCGTCCCCCTGAGCGGACATGCTGGCTACCTGACGGCGGAACAACAAGCTCAGGTCTCGCAGCTGCGTCTGATGCTCGAGTCTGAGGGCTACACCAAACGTCTCGACACGCTCACACTGGTACGCCTTGCACCAGAATAGCTTTCCATCAGGTTCAGGGTCGGGATACTGACAAATAGGAAACAGCTCCGCTTCCTCCGTGCCCGCAAGTTCGATGTCAACCTCTCCAAGCAAATGTACGCACACCTTCACTGGGGATGGATTCCACAGTCAGGCAGGGGCTAACAATACGCCAGGTTCATCGAGTGCGAGAAGTGGAGGCAAGAGACCAACCTCGACGACGTCGTCCCCAACTGGGACTACCCCGAGAAGGAGGAGGTCTTCAAGTACTACCCCCAGTACTACCACAAGACCGACAAGGTACATAATTTATCTGGGCTCCACCTTTCCCCCCCCTATTGCTAACCCCACCATCAGGATGGCCGGCCCGTCTACATCGAGCAGCTCGGCAACATTGATCTCACAGCCATGTACAAGATCACCACGGCCGAGCGCATGCTGACCAACCTCGCGGTCGAGTACGAGCGCGTCGCCGACCCCCGCCTCCCGGCCTGCTCCCGCAAGTCGGGCGTCCTCCTCGAGACGTGCTGCACCGTCATGGATCTCAAGGGCGTCGGCATCTCCAAGGCGCCCCAGGTGTTCAACTATGTCAAGCAGGCCAGCGTCCTGAGCCAAAACTACTACCCCGAACGCCTCGGTCGTCTGTATCTGATCAACGCTCCTTGGGGCTTCAGCACCGTCTGGGGGGTCGTGAAGGCGTGGCTTGATCCGGTGACGGTGCAGAAGATTCATGTGTTGGGCAGCGGGTACCAGAAGGAGTTGTTGGCGCAGGTTCCCGCCGAGAACCTGCCTAAGCAGTTTGGTGGTTCGTGCGAGTGTGCGGGCGGTTGCCAGTTTAGCGACATGGGTCCTTGGCGCGAGGAGCAGTGGGCCAAGCCGGCCAAGTGGGAGAAGAAGGAGGGTGCTGCTGCTGCTGCTCCTGCGGCGGATGCCACTATTCAGAATGCTGGTGCGGATGTGAAGGAGGGTGGTGCTGCTGCTGTTGCCGGGCAGGGGAATGCGGCTCTTCCGGTGGACGTCAAGGCTGATGCTCCTGCTCCGGCGGCTGCGTAGGTGCAGTCATTGAGGAAGGAGGATGAGGTGCCGCATCGGTGTGGTTGCGGGGACATGCGGTAGTGTTCTTGCCACTCGGTAATGAAGGCCGGCTTCTTTTTGCATGGTAGTTACATGTAGACAGTGGGCGTGGAGCGGGTGTTGGTAGTTTGCGATTGTATTCAGATGGTACCTTACATGTGATAGGCGTGGCGGGGTGGGAGGAGATGAACAAGAATCCCTAAGTTTATCTCTTGACTTGAATGGCATAGTAATGTTTTTTCTTGGTTGAGGAAGTGTAGCAATGGTGGGGGGTATTATTATTTTCCGTAACGCCTCCTTTGTCCTCTGTCTCCTGACCTGGATACATATATATATATACATATATATATGACTTGTTCTGTTTACCAACCACATACCCACCCACCACCCTCGCCCTCTCCATCTTGGCCACAACAGCGGGCATGTCTCTCTTCAGCCTCCCCAGCGTCTCCACCGCCTTGGTGTACGTCCCCTCGACAACCTCCTGTCTATCCAACTCGCCCATTCCCTCGAGTGCCTTTTTCCCGCTTTCCAACCCTTCCTCCCTCGCCCGTTGCAGCACTGCCGAAAGCATCTCCTCGTCTGTGGCTATCTGGGCGTTTGTGGCGGTCATGTAGGCGGATGCGGTCGCGGCGGGGACGCGCCGCTTGAGCTGGGCGATGGAGCGGAGGAGGTCTTCCTCTTGGGAGACGAGGGACTCGATCCTGTCGCGCTTGCGGGGGTCGAAGGGTTCGTAGTGGTCGGTTTGGGGGTTGTGGTGGTCTTGCGGGTCGGAGGAGAAGAGGGTTTTGGGGGAGGGGGGGGCCGAGAGGGAGCCGTTTATTGAGAGGGAGGGGAGGGAGAGGGTGAAGAGGCGGGTTATGTACTAGAGCGTACGAGACGTCACGGAGGCGCATCGTGGGATGGGATTGGGAGTGGGTGGGGAAGGGAAAGGGAAAAGGGGGGGGGGAGGGGGGGGAAACGTACGTCGTTTACCAGCTTATCAATCTCGTTGCGCAACTCGTCTTCCTCTTGGGGGATGGGGTTCCCTTCGTCGTCGAGGACGGGGGGGAAAGCGGCGTTGATGCTATCGGTCGCTGCTTTACGGACGTTGGTGATGAGGTACCGGAGGTCGTCTGGGGATTGGAGTTCGATTTTTCGCTGGATGGAGTCGTCCATTTTTATTTTATTTTATTTTTGTCAGAAAAGTAGGGAGGGGGGGTTGTTTGTCGACTTTCTTTCTTTGGTGGTTGGTTCGCAGGGGGGCCGGTGATTAGATATTATTACTGCTCTAGTTATGCACTATTTGCCAGAAAACAAGAATCTCCTTTTCTCTGTTCCCCTCCCCGGGTATAGCTTCGTCTCTCGTATCGTCGTGGTGTTTCGTGTCGTCGTCGTGGTGCTCAAGTCCTGGATGTTATTGTCGTCGTTGTCATATCAAAACATGCGTCCATCATCCCCCAAATCGCGACGCCAATATATCTTATCGATACTCTGAACGCCCAGTCTACAATTAAGCACCTGGCCCGTGCACACCACCTTCCCCAGACGCTAACCCCGAACTGCACAAGTCCAATCTGCCTGCGAAGAAAGCAGAAGTGGGGTTCACCACTTTGGTGGGGCGGAAGAAGCGGGGGGGGGCTTACAGCTGCTCCCGGTGTTCCGCTACTGAAACCCCCCATCGTCTCTAGGTTATCAGCTGCAGGTTAAGCTGATCTATCAACACCCCCCCCCGCTTACATCCGGTTCAGACAGGGCGAGCGAGTGGTTGATATCTCAACTTCTATTGGCAGCAGACAAGACCGGGACCGGAAGTTCAAACAGGGACAAATCAACCGGGGACACTCTCGCTGACGCAGACAGGGCTGCCAGACAGCAAACTGTTTGACAGTAGTAAATAAATAATATGTCTCCGTAACGAGAGCCTGGAATTCCAAAAGCAAACTATGTCAAAGGTCTGAACATGAATGATTACCATACACCGCCTACCACCTGTGCCCAAAATCCCAATTACGCCTGTCAAAGCCACTCCCACGCGTGCGACAAAAGCCAAGAGACGAGATTCTCCCCTCAAGGCAGGAAAGAAAAAGAAGAAAAGAATAAGAGGATAGTACCACCCGGTGTCACGCCCATCCCACCGTCTGAAAGGGTGACTGACATGTGCCCCGTCCCCGGCCAGCCACACCCGCCCCAAGTGTTGTTGTTTCCTTGTAAACAATAATGATATTTCCCCGAACCCCCAACTAACGATGAACAAACAAGAACTCCTAGTACCAACCTAGCCGTGGGCCAAAAGAGCTACCCAATGGTAGACCGAAAGGAAAATAAAGAAAAGAGCCGGAAAAATCAATGACGACCTCCTGTCCACTTATGTGATGGTTTTCCTCGTCGAGCAGACGGCTGCTGGCGGTTGGACGAGGTAAGAAGTCGAAGTGAATTACTGATGCTGAACAATTGTCGAGAGTTTCTGAAAGAAAAAAGAAAGCTTGTCTAATAGTGCTTGATGAGTTGAGTTGTCGTGGAATACGGTTCGTGAAAATCGTTGTAGTATAATCATGCTGTTCTTGCCAAAGATGGCTGCCTGTGTGTGCGCCTTGGACGTTTATTGAGGCAGCATCTTCTTGATCTCCTCGTCACTGATGTGGATCTCGACGATGGGATCACGGCGCTGGTCGAGCGGGGTGTATTCAAAGTCGCTCATGGATGGCAGGAAGATTTCGGGATTCCAGACGAAGCCTTGTCCCCTCTCGAGGTAGGTCACCTGGTGGCACCGTGTGAGTGGCGGGGGTCAAGCACAGCATTGTAGCACTTCTGCCACTGCTGGCAGCCAGGACAAGGAAACAACTTACCAGTCTCATGGGTCCTTCGTGATCCTCGCCGCCAATCCGGATGGTCGTGCACTCCTGCTTGGTGAAAGCAGAGCCTGCGTGTTCATCATTAGCATCCCGTTTGGGATTGGGGGGGATGCAAAGAGTAATGAGGTCGGGACATACTCAAAAGGCTGGGTCGTCTGGCGTGCACCTTTTGCTTCTGAGAAGCCCTAGGTGAGGCCTTGGGAGAGTGGCCTGGCGTGCTCGGGGAGCTAGAGTACGACGACGGCGACGAGCCATCCTGGCGGTTCGCCTGGCGATGGCGCTGGTCGGGAATGGCGATCGAGGTAGGCATGTTGTCCATGGCGGGCTAGGACTAGGAGACTTTAGGCTTTGGTAGGGTAACAGAACAAGACCGCCAGGTCGGTCGGGGCGAATTGAAGGTGCGGGGGAGGTAGTGTGGATTATTGGGTTGGGTTACGACTATGCTGCTACTGCCGAAGGAACGCGCAGAGCTGCAGGGACGGAGATACCATGTATTTATTCGCAGAGTATACTCCGTAAATGTTGGAAGCAGAGGAGCAGAGGAGTAGAGGGAGCAGAGGGAGCAGAGGGAGCAGAGAAGCAGAGAAACAGAGAAGCACAAGCACGTCAGACGGTGAAAATGGCGGGGCGGGGGACCAGGAGTGAGGAAGATGTAATGTGAAAGAAAGGCGAAGAGAAGGGTTTTAGAAGAGGCAGCAGGGGGGGTAAGACCTGAGGAGGAGTGAGTAACCCCTCAGGGTGTCGGGTCGTCTCCCGAATGGTATGCGTACTGTGTACCTGGGATGTGACTAACATGGAACCTTTGTCTCCAACACACAACGAACCCCTCCAACCATCCAGGATCCACGCCATCATCTGATTCAGGCCATTGCAGGGCAAAGGCAAGATAACGGCGACCGGCATCTCTGCCTCCCACCCAATAGCTGGCCGTCCTCAGCGATGAACGCTACGTGGGAGGGCTGGACAGGCCTTGGCTCATGAAGTCGGTAGTGAGGTAGCATGCCACTCTTTAGTGTGGGGTAGGATGTAGCCAACGTCCTTCTCCGCACCGCTTGCCTAATGCTGCAAGGCAATCTCATGATTGCGCCCAAGGGGCGACTAAAGATAATTCTCAGTTTTGTGCTACAGAAACTTGCCATGGAAGACAGCTCCCTCAGTGTCATCAGTTCTAGGTCAAGCGGTGACGAGGAAGCACGGCAGCAGCTCGTTGCAACAAGCAGCACCCTTGAAAGTTGGACGTTGAATTGCAGAAGCACAGGCCACACCAGTCCCCACCTTGTCCTCGACCTCTTTCGGCCTAGCCCCCCCGCCTCATCAGACAAGGCTGCCGAACCAATCCCACTGCTCAGTATCCTCAGGCTCCAGGCGGATGACGAGCCACTTGGAAGCTAATCGCCAAGATATACCTGACTGCTGCTGCCACGCGCCACGAGGCGAAAGCAACAACGACAGAACACCATCGAAACCACTTTCCATACGAAAACATTTGAAATTTGCTTGCATTTTGCATTCCGGCATCACCAGAACCTACCGCACTATTCAAATTCATCGCATCAGCCTCGGGAGAGAAAGGGATATCTAGGGCAAAAATGGGTGACGTCCTGGTCGAAAGCGCTGCCAACAGCGTCCAGCCTCACAAGAAGAGCATCCCCTCCACCATCCCTAGCATCGAGAACTTCGAGGGCGTAACGACAGAGGGCAATGATGAGTACGAGAACCTCAAGCGGCTGCAACGGCAGCTGGAGTACATTCAGCTGCAGGAGGAGTACATCAAGGACGAGCAAAGGTAGCCGCTCGCACTTTCTGCAGTCGACGTGGGACAGGAGCTAAACCTTTTGGTGTTTTAGGAGTCTGAAGCGTGAGTTGGTGCGGGCACAGGAGGAGATCAAGCGCATCCAGAGCGTCCCGCTGGTCATCGGCCAGTTCATGGAGGCCATTGACCAAAAGTAAGCACGCTTCATCCTCGACCCTCGACCAACCCAACTAACAAACCATTACCAGCACTGGCATCGTTCAGTCCTCCACCGGCAGCAACTACGTCGTCCGCATCCTGTCCACCCTCGACCGCGAGAAGCTCAAGCCCTCCTCCTCGGTCGCCCTCCACCGCCACTCCAATGCCCTCGTCGACATCCTCCCCCCCGAAGCTGACTCCTCCATCGCCATGCTCGGCGCCGACGAAAAGCCCGACGTGACCTACGCCGACGTTGGTGGTCTCGACATGCAAAAGCAGGAAATCCGCGAGGCCGTCGAGCTCCCTCTCACCCATTTCGACCTCTACAAGCAAATCGGCATCGACCCTCCCCGCGGTGTTCTCCTCTACGGCCCCCCCGGTACCGGCAAGACGATGCTTGTCAAGGCCGTCGCCAACTCGACCACGGCCAATTTCATCCGCGTGGTCGGGTCCGAGTTCGTCCAGAAATATCTCGGTGAAGGCCCCCGCATGGTCCGCGACGTCTTCCGCATGGCTCGCGAGAACGCCCCGGCCATCATCTTCATCGACGAAATCGACGCCATCGCCACGAAGCGTTTCGATGCTCAGACCGGCGCCGATCGGGAAGTCCAGCGTATCCTGCTCGAACTCCTCAACCAAATGGATGGTTTCGACCAGACGGCCAACGTCAAGGTCATCATGGCCACCAACCGAGCCGACACGCTTGATCCTGCCCTTCTCCGTCCCGGCCGGCTCGATCGCAAGATTGAGTTCCCCAACCTTCGTGATCGCCGTGAGAGGAGACTGATCTTTACGACGATTGCGGGCAAGATGAGCTTGGCGCCAGAGGTTGACTTGGATAGTTTGATTACGAGGAACGATCCGCTGAGCGGCGCCGTGATTGCGGCGATTATGCAGGAGGCGGGGCTGAGGGCGGTGAGAAAGAATAGGTACAACATTATTCAGAGCGATTTGGAGGATGCGTATAGCAGCCAGGTGAAGGGGACGACGGATGAGAACAAGTTTGATTTTTACAAATAAGCGGGGACATGAGGGGGGGGGGGGCGGAAACAAAAGGTTCAGGCTTACAACAGCGAAGATTGATGGCCAGGTGTGTTTTGGGGGGGGGGTGTGGCTGCTTTGCTAGAGGAGTCGAGATGCGTAATGTACAATATAAGTATGACATGGAATAGATGGCGTGTCTTGTCTTTTGCTGAGTTTTGGTTGGTGATGGTGTGAAATGGTGCAGTCTCCTTTAGGCTTCGGTGTCAGAGCCTGCTGATATTCTCCTCGTTACAACATTCCACAATACCAAGGTCCGAACGTGTGTCTGTCAGGGACAGGTGTCTACAATCATATCACTTTCAGGGGGGACTGGCAGAGTGTGTGACAAAAGTTTTTTTGATATCGTTGAATACCAACAACCCATTAATACTAGTAATACACACGAACCTCGCTCTTCTCTCTCGATGAAAAAAACTTTCACTTTCTCAACCAACGCTCAAGAAAGCTAGGAGGAAAATCATGTAAACGCTTCTTGAACCCACAGAAGATGCCAACAGCAGCAGCAGCAGCAGCAGTAGTAGTAACTCACACACACAGAAACACAGCAAAAAAAACAACCAAAAAAACCGGGTATATCCTCCGACAATCCACCAACCAACTAACCAACCAATCAATCAATCAATCAATCAATCAATCCACCAGTACTCCCTCATCCTTCATCCCCGTGTGTCAGTAGTTAGTAGAAGAACCATCCTCTCTTCCCCCCCCTTTCATGGGCAGAGCAGCGAACAAGGCGCGAGAAGAAAAAAAGCCGTCTCTCCTGCTCCCCACCGCTTAGACTTTGAGAAAAAAGAAAAAAGAAAATAAAGCCCATCTAATGTATATCCGCCCCTAGTTCCCTCAGTTTGTTCCCCCAGAATTCTAGTTGCAGCAAGCAAGCAGGCAAGTTCCTGCGCTTTCTATGTATCCCTTTCCATCCCTCCCTTTCCACCCTCTTTTCTTCTACAAGAAGAAACAAAAAAAAAAAGGAAAAAAAAAAAAAGGAAAAAGTGTATCACCCTTTTCCTCATTACTTCATTACCCATTACCCTCCACCCTACCCCCCTCTTTCTTTCTCGTTCTCCCGAAAATCCACATCTGGCTTTTCGTATAATCGCCAAAATAGTCGGAGAACCCCAAATGAATGGTGTGATGGTACAAATATCCGCCCCCGGCCCGGGCCTGGTCTCATATTTTAGGGGGGGGGGGGGATTTTTTTTTTTATTTTTTTAAATAAAAAAATTAAATAAAAATAAAATTAAAAATAT